CCAAAAGAAAACTCGCAAAATTTCACACCTTGATGCCAAATATTTTTTCGCCAATAAGAAACTAGGAAACATTTAAAAACAAAATTCAAATAATCTTCAATTCTCAAAAACAAAATTCTTTTACGGACCTTTTCGCGAGCCGACGTGAGGTTTGTTTGTCTCCCAATGAAAAGGCCCGGATCATGTCCGGGAGTGAATTCCCAAATTACCTTTTCAAGCCCCACTAACAAAATAAAAGACGGGCAAGTTCGCCTGTCACCAGAGAGAAGGAGACGAGCGTATTAACACGCCCCTTTGGCAAACGTCAAGCGATCGTTATTATTATCTCAACCTTTCTCCCTCACCTCTTTTATACTTGATAAAAGAACGGAACATTTTAAGACTGAGTGATTACTTCAAAGACATTCCTACCCTACAATGACGCTCATACATACATACACGCATACATTCCTGCCTATGTATACATAAACTCATTCTTGCAAGGACTACTACGAACGTTTTGACGACCTTGTATCAACCAAAATACATTAATTTTATTTGTAAAAACCATGATTGATTTATATGTATATAAATGTTGTTTTACTTTACAATTTGATTTTCTTGTTTTATACCCCTCTTATCTACCCCTCTTATCTATCTAACAAGGCCAAATCAAACTAATCTGTTTCAACACATACACATCACTATGACTGATAACTCACTATAAGAGACAACACTAATGCTGATTAAAACTGTCAGTTTTGGGTCAAATATAGATCAAATATGTATCTGAATCCGACAGAATGATAAGATAAAGAATAAGAAAAGACTTTCTCTTAGTTTTTTTATTTTATTTTTTGTCGATAGAATTTTCTCGGATAAAAGTCGCTATAAATTCACGCTTCTGCAACTACAAACCAGAGTACAGTGTAACCCGGATATAAGAGAGATGTCGGGACCGGAGAAGAATGATCTTATATCCGGGTTTCTCTTATATCCGGGTCTAATTTATATACATTAACACAGGCTCTAATTTGGGACCAGATAAAATCTCTCTTATATCCGGGTCTCTTATATCCGGGTTACACTGTATTTGATTTTGATGGTATTGAATTAACTCCTTAATTTTCTAATTGCCCAAGCTATTCCTAGGGGTCGCTATCTCTAATGTATAAATACTCGAGAATACATCATTCTCTCTCTTCTTTTCTTTCAATTTTCAGTGGACGCTGCGACTATGTAAGGCTCTCGCAGAAGATTGTGTTTTCACCTCCGTGAGTAGGGCGCTATGCTTTTCCTTGGAAAGACATCATGAACATTATACACACATACACACACATCTACAAACGTACGAACATACTTTGAAACACAAACTCTTTACGTTCATGCACACAAACACGTTAATGTTTTTGTCTTTTGTAAACCTTATGTTTGTACATATATATCAGTTTCTTGTTGTTTTTTTTTTACATTTTCTATTTGGTAGGCTTATTGTCCAAGTTTGCCATATTTGCAGTGGTCTTTATTTCAGTAGTTCCAAACGTATTCATATCACAATGCGTATGAAACCCCACCATCCGCTACAATGGTAAAGGAAAGCTCACCTTTCATTGATACGCTATTACTGGTAGTGTACACAGGGTCAGTGCATGGGTTTTGTAGGCACCCCATGAATCTTTGATATAGCCCCTCAATCTCCGAATGTATGATATGGGGCCCCCACTCTCTCAATTTTCTTAAATTAGTATTCAAGTTAAAAAAACACAAATTTTATTGTGACCTAATTATGCACAATAATCGACCATATGCAATATTAGTGAACATTGAACAATTTAACTAGAAAAATCGAAAATACAATGCAAATACAGAGAATTGGTCATTTATTCAATTGATTCCATAAATCAACAATGTTTCATGCCAATTTTTAACATCAACTAGTGATTTTTGTTGTTAAAAACTTTAATTTATTAACACATTGACCATTAAAACATACTGAATTTTAGAATTAGAGTTTTATTTTTTTCGAGTCTTAGGCTTCTTAGCATAAACAAAACAAATTCATGGATTTGGACGAACAAAAAACAGTCTCCAGAATCGCCAAATCAGCGAACATTTATCAACCTTTAGTTTTCAGTTTTGCTTAGTTTAAATTTATAACGTATCTAAATGTAGATAGTAAAGAAGCAAATGTTAAGATAACGAGGGTCACAAAGCATTACTTTATGCCCCTACAGTGGGCTAGGCCATGGCCACCGATTCAGAAGGCCTGTTTCATTGGGGTAGGGAAAAATGTGACGTCATCATATTGAGTCCGACTTTCAAGAAGTGTGTTGTTTGTTTTTTGTGTATCAGATTTTTTACGGTGGCATTTTTAAATTATTTATTAATACTTTCTTTTAAATATTGAATTAATTTAAAAAAGCAAAAGCAATGCCTTATAGATGCGTTCTAACAAATTGCAAAGGGAATTATAAAAACGGAATGTATTTTCTTTCCCTAAAGATAAAGAATTATCTGATGTTTGGATGCGTTTCAGCAGAGTGAGTATTTTTTGTATTAAAAAATAAGTAAATTTTATTGAAACTTTAATGATAAAATTAATACCATGTCTTTGTAATTCATAACATGAAGTTTTAAGACATAAATCTAGCAAGAAAGTTTACATTCATTCTTGTATGAGGTTTTACCGTTTTACATTTTAAAAGCAGCATGTACAAGTTGTACGTGTTGCTTTTAAAATGTAAAACCTCATTTTTTTGTAAGAAATAAACTTTTAAAAAATTTTCGACATAAATTCATTCATGAATTCCTAAAGGAATATTTTATATGCATAAAAAATGATTCTAAATTGTTTTATTCGTGACTAAATGAAACTTTTAATTGAATTAATTTCATTTTCATGTCTAATTCACAACACATTTTAAAACAAAGTTTTGTTTTAAAAAGTTATTAAACTCAATTGAAACTTTGAGGATTAAAATAATTTCATATCTTTATAATTCACAAAAAACACATTAAAAAGAAAGTTGTGAAAGTTTTTAAAAGCTGAATTCTAATATTAAAAAAATAAACTTTAAAGAAATTTTTGAAATTCATAAAGGAATCTTTTTAGGCATAAAAATAATTCTAATAATTTAACAATTTTTTAGAATTGTTCTATTCATAAGAATGTTTTTTTATTTATCATTTTGAATTAAAAAAATGAATAAACATTAAAAATTCTCTTATTTGTACATAACTTCATTACTAATAATCTTTTGTTGAATTCTCTCCACTTTTCCCAAAATTGCTAATGCTTCAGCTTCATATTGTAGATTTTTGCTGATTGATTTTCTTAGATTTTCACAAGAATTTAAAATAGGTTTGGTTTTTAAAATCTTTTTGAGTTATTAGGTATGTGAACTACATTTTTGGACATAAGGAGAGAATCGTCAACTTTTGATGAAGAAACAGGTGTCACAATTGCAGTTAAACTAAAAAAAAATATATCTTCGTGGTGGCGCTATTCCTAGAATTTTCCCAAGCTGTCCTCACATTTATCTTCATTGAATACTTCTAGAGAGTCTCCAGATTCCAGAAGAATCCGACTAGAGAATTCTGATCTTAAAAGTGCTTAAAATCAAAGTATTAATTTCTGAAATTATTTGATTTTTAAATCTATTTATTGTTTGTGTCTAATTTATTTGCTTGTTTGTATTTATTTGTTTCTTATTTATGTTTAATTGTTTTATTTATTCATCTTAATTATTTTATTTATTCATCATTTAATTATAATTTGTTTATTTAATTATTGTTTGTTCCCTAATTCATAATTCAGTTGTCACAGTATTTGAGTAATAATCTCTTACTTAATGATTACAAAAATTGTAACTTTACAGAATAATTATTAAAATTGAAATAAAAACATGCAAATTAAAAAACTTTCAAATGTGAAACCATTTTTAAAATCATGAATGAATTTTTCAGTCTTAAAATTGTCTGTTTGTAATCTACTTTTCTATAAGTATTATTTGAATTTTAAATCTCTTTTTTGTATCAAATTTATTTACTTTCATGTATTTCGTTTATTTATCATTTACTTGTAATTTGCTCGTCTGTTTATTTTTAATTGTTTGTTTACTAATTCATAATTGAGTTGTTCCTGTCGGAGTGTAAGAATAATAATCATTAATTACGATATTGTAACTTTACAGAATAATTACTAAAATTAAGATAAAAACATGCAAATTAAAACAATACTAATTATGATTTTAAAAATATTTTCAAATTTGAAACAAAAAAATAATGAACGAATTTCAGTCTTTAAAATTTAATGAAAACATGATGTTTAATTTCTTTACTTTTTAAAAGAAAACATTCAGCAACATTTTTTTTCTCATCGGTTATTTTAAAAAAATTAATATGAAATAAAGTTCTGTATAAAATCCAATTCTGTTTCTTTCTTTTATAAATGTGTTTTTAAAAAGTTTCATAAAACCAATTATTCGTTACATGATGATTTACTGTCTGTTTCACTGCATGGACTACAGTTGTGACATCACGTCACTTTCGAGCAGGACTTTCTTTATCGGTGGCCACATTATGACGCACAGGCTCCATGTACAGCATTTGGGTCAACATTTAAATTTAATCAACTATTATTAAATCTTTCAACTTCGCTCATGCAACCCAGGAAACATTTTGTTGAGGCATTTATATCTGGGAGTAAACAGTAGCATCATATCGTCAGATACAGTTTGTTCTGGAAATTATTCAAAAAATGAAAAAAAATTAAATTAAAATTGTCTAGATTTGAGGAAACAAGTTGTAAAATTGAACTCAAGGCTAGAAGTCATCTTCTTCGGAAATAAGATAGAATCACTTCTCCACTGAAGAATAATTATTAATTCATGGAAAGATTATTTAACAAAAAGCAAAACAAAATACAGTCATATGAGCTCAGTGTGTAAAACAACAACAAAAAAAATCGTTAATTTTCGAAGTTATTAATTATTTTCTGTAGGTAATTTTTGTTTACTTACTCAGTTTTGAAAGTCTTGCTAACAAACCGCTTTGAAGTGAACGCACTTCTTTCTTTCGTTGCAGTCAGGATGCAAATACGATGATACAATTCCGAGAAATAAGATAAAGGTTTCCAAGAAACTATAGTTTTTTGTTCCATTTTGTTTTTAAAAAAAAAAAAAAAAAAAAAAGTGAAATCAATAAAATACGTTTTATCAGATTTAACTCCACCTTTCAGTCTAAAGTAGATTATTTTTTAAAGAAATGTTATAAAATAAGACATATCTCGGCTGATTTACAGGCAAATACTCAAGGATTATTGACATTAGGAAAACAGAAATATTTGCCTAATTTTGCAGAATTTGCAGAATATATAAACATATTTTATATTTGGTGGACAATAATGAATATTAAAATGCCATATAAAGGTTGTTGGCTTAGAAATAAATACTGCAATCCACTTAGAATGAATGAAGAAAATTTTAGATTTCTCTCTGTATTCTGTAACTGGTTAGAATCTTGGAATAGCATTTCTGGAAGAAATGGCAAATTAACAAAGGAAACCTTCACTGCTTTTGCATCATACAACCTATGCATACTGACCAAGTATTGTATAGAAGAACTGAAAATGCTATACATATTACCAAGCAAATTTCAAACTGATCACCTTGAGGCAAGGTTTGCTCAATACTGGCAACTTAGTGGGGATCAGTATAATATCTTGATATGGCAAGTATTTGAGTGTAAAAAAAAATTAGAATGCAATCAGTTTTAAAATTGAGCTTACCATTTAATCAGAAATGCATTAAAATTGATTTAAAGAGTTTACAAGAACCAAACTGGGATGAAGTGACAGAGGAGGAAAAGTTAGATATGTATAAATATAGAATTTATGTTAAAGAGGATGATGTTAATAATTGTAGAGAAGTTCTACCTGTAATGCTATACTTAGCAGGTTATAATGCAGTTTTTAAGAAAATTAAATGCAATAGTCGCAAAGATTTTAATTATCTGGAAGTGTAAGAGATAATGTGGAAGAAATACCTGAAATAAGTAGCTATTTTCAGGATATTAATAGAGGTTCTCTCTTATATCCTAATGATAAAACTATAAATTTTGTTCTGTATAATTATGTAGTCATTGATAAGCTGATAAAAAAAATCATTATTTCTTCATTCAGTAAATCAAAGAAAATTAGCCATGCATATAACATTGAATGTTTTGGCAGATTATGAGCTTCTTTTTGATGTTGACACTTGTGATGAGGGTCACAATATAGAAAAAAAATACAAAAGAATGTTTGTCTGGAGCTCTACAAATGCTCTTTTAATTAATTTTTGTTCTAGGAAAATAATAATATTGCAAGTAACAAGTTAAGCAAAAAAAGAAAACTTCAAACATTCAGCTAAATTTTGTATCAGTAACCTATATTTCTGAAAATATTATTTGATTTTTAAATCTATTTATTGTTTGTGTCTAATTTATTTGCTTGTTTGTATTTATTTGTTTCTTATTTATGTTTAATTGTTTTATTTATTCATCATTTAATTATAATTTGTTTATTTAATTATTGTTTGTTCCCTAATTCATAATTCAGTTGTCACAGTATTTGAGTAATAATCTCTTAATGATTACAAAAATTGTAACTACAGAATAATTATTAAAATTGAAATAAAAACATGCAAATTAAAAAAATTTCAAATGTGAAACCATTTTTAAAATCATGAATGAATTTTTCAGTCTTAAAAAATTGTCTGTTTGTAATCTACTTTTCTATAAGTATTATTTGAATTTTAAATCTCTTTTTTGTATCAAATTTATTTACTTTCATGTATTTCGTTTATTTATCATTTACTTGTAATTTGCTCGTCTGTTTATTTTTAATTGTTTGTTTACTAATTCATAATTGAGTTGTTCCTGTCTGAGTGTAAGAATAATAATCATTAATTACGATATTGTAACTTTACAGAATAATTACTAAAATTAAGATAAAAACATGCAAATTAAAACAATACTGATTATGATTTTAAAAATATTTTCAAATTTGAAACAAAAAAATAATGAACGAATTTCAGTCTTTAAAATTTAATGAAAACATGATGTTTAATTTCTTTACTTTTTAAAAGAAAACATTCAGCAACATTTTTTTCTCATCGGTTATTTTAAAAAAATTAATATGAAATAAAGTTCTGTATAAAATCCAATTCTGTTTCTTTCTTTTATAAATGTATTTTTAAAAAGTTTTATAAAACCAATTATATTCGTTACATGATGATTTACTGTCTGTTTCACTGCATGGACTACAGTTGTGACATCACGTCACTTTCGAGCAGGACTTTCTTTATCGGTGGCCACATTATGACGCACAGGCTCCATGTACAGCATTTGGGTCAACATTTAAATTTAATCAACTATTATTAAATCTTTCAACTTCGCTCATGCAACCCAGGAAACATTTTGTTGAGGCATTTATATCTGGGAGTAAACAGTAGCATCATATCGTCAGATACAGTTTGTTCTGGAAATTATTCAAAAAATGAAAAAAAATTAAATTAAAATTGTCTAGATTTGAGGAAACAAGTTGTAAAATTGAACTCAAGGCTAGAAGTCATCTTCTTCGGAAATAAGATAGAATCACTTCTCCACTGAAGAATAATTATTAATTCATGGAAAGATTATTTAACAAAAAGCAAAACAAAATACAGTCATATGAGCTCAGTGTGTAAAACAACAACAAAAAAAATCGTTAATTTTCGAAGTTATTAATAATAATTATTTTCTGTAGGTAATTTTTGTTTACTTACTCAGTTTTGAAGTCTTGCTAACAAACCGCTTTGAAGTGAACGCACTTCTTTCTTTCGTTGCAGTCAGTATACAAATAGGATGATACAATTCCGAGAAATAAGATAAAGGTTTCCAAGAAACTAGTTTTTTTGGTTTCACTTTGTTTACCTGCAAACCGCATTGAAGTTGTAGTGGTATTGACGGAATAAATCAACCCACACATTTTTTACTTTACGAATGTGCAAGAAAATAAAAAGCAAACAAGAGAAGAAATACAAGAAAATAACTTTTTCTTAATCAGGAACAATATTTATAAAAAAACAACAGTTTACAATAACAATAATAAGAGTTACTTCCCTTTGACTGGGCTAATGTTTTTACTAATTAAAAGTCATTTTTATCCGAGCTCACAAAACTGAATTAACTTGTAGTTCAAAATGTTCACTGAAAGAGAATCTTATAAAGCTGAAAATATGTTAATAAACTTTTAGCTTTAAAGAAGTTGGAGAAGTGAATGTTCCGTATGTTTTTGTTGCTCGTAGTTTTAAAATGTATTGTTCGTAATTGTTTGTAATTAAAGTTCGTCTGATTCAATAACGTAATTGAATAAGAATATAAAATTTTACAAGTTGGTGAGTGAGCTGTTTCGTTGAAATTGTAGCTTGATTTTCAGTGAAGTAATTTCATGTTAAAGAACTTTAGGTTCCAACTTTGTACTTCGCTGCAGTAATGATTCAAGCGTCGTGAAGTCGATTAGCGAATTTGGTTGTCGTAAATTCTCACTGAAAGGGTCCGCTCGTACCTTCAACTTATGTTCCTTCAACCACGTGACAGGCTCCGAAGGCATTGTTTTTTCGTCAGGTCAAAAACTAGGTTGACGTTGTTCGGACGTAGTGGTGAGCAGGTAAATTGTTTTTTTAACACCTGTTAACCACTCAGAAAGCGCCTTACAAAACTCAGTCTAGAGCCTGATATGTTTTGTCTCGCTTATTGAGAACAATACACGTAAAGATAAATTTATTATCCAATGAGGAGTTTAGGTTTTCAGAAACATTCATGAAGATGATCCGCTCTTTGCACGAAAATCGACATTTTGTGAAAAGTGGTAGCGGACAGCTAAAATACTCCACCCCAAATTGAAAGTTTGAAAAAAAAAAAATTTCAATATGTATGATACTGCAAATTTTGTAGGCCAATGAACATGTCTGCCTGCTCTAGTTGTAGTTTTTCTCGGAGGAGTTTCAGGTTGAATATCCTTCTGCTGGGCGGAAGAATTTTGATCAAACGAGGTCGAAGAATGCTTATCGGCATCAATGAAAGTAGGTTTCAACCTGTCAATGCTGACAGTGTTTGACTTATTATTGATTAAGATGGTAAAATATTTCGGTGCACGGGAAATAACTTGGAAAGGACCGGATATGTCGGGTGAGAGGTTTTTTAACTGCATCTCTGCGTAGAAATACAAACTCACAGTTTTCCAAAGTTTTCGGTACGAAAATTGCTCTGTCTGAAATGCGCGTTGGGGTAAATACGAGGTTAGACATGCGTTCTTTTAAGTCCTGAATGAAGTATGTAGATGGTCTTGTCGACACATCTTTTTCCATCATTTGACCGGGGAGTGTAAGTGGGCTCCCAAAAACAAGCTCAGCTGTGGTGCATTTTAAATCTTCCTTGACAACACTACGTAGTGCTAGCATTACTAGTGGTAATCTCTCAATCCACGATCGTGTGTCTTCGCTAGCTGTAAGTGCTGCTTTTAGTTGCCTGTGAAACCTTTCTACCAAACCGTTTGCGCACGGATGGTAAGCTGTAGTTGTTATATGTTTAGTACCCAACAGGTTTAGTAAATTCAGCGAAGAGGGTAGACTGGAATTGGGGTCCGATCTGTAGTAATGACAGACGGGCATCCAAATGTGGCTATCCACTCACGTAAGATCGTTTGTGCGATAACACTGGCGGTGGTTGATCGCAGGGTACCACCACTGGCCAACGTGTGAAACGGTCCACTATTGTCAACAAGTATTCGTATCCGTCTACTTCCATTAAGGGACCGACGAGGTCGACGTGTATATGTTTATCGACCATCCGGTGCAGAAAAGTGACCAGGAGGAGATCTGGTGTGTTGTTGAACTTTCGACTTCTGGCATTTAATACATGTCTGCGTCCAGTGTTTTTATGTTCTGCAGACATGTTTGGCCAGACAAATCGTTCAGAAATAAGTTTCGTTGACGCTTTACGGCCGGGATGAGACATAGAATGAAAATGGTCGAAAATTTGTCTGCGCATAATAGGGGGCACGTAGGGTCTAGGGTGTTTAGTGCTAACGTCGCAAAACAAGTATGCCGCACTGAAAGGAATTGGTCGTTGCTCAATGCGCAGTGACGTGTCACTTTTCACTTTTTCTAGGGTGGCATCCCTCTGCTGTTCTCTGGCTAAGCATTCAAAATCTAATGGTTGCAACTTGACGGAATTCATTGTAGCTCTAGAAAGGGTGTCAGCAACGATGTTGTCGTTCCCGTTAATGTGACGAATATCGGACGTAAATAGTGCGATGTAGTCCAGCTGTCTTATGTCACGAGGGTTATATTTATCTGTTTTAGAGTGCAAGGCATACACTAAAGGTTTATGGTCAGTGAAAATTATAAAATTCCTGCCCTCTAACAGATGTCGGAAATGACGAACAGATAGATATATAGCAAGTAGTTCACGTGAAAAAGCACTATATTTGCGTTGTGCTGAATTTAATTTCACGGAAAAGAATGAAAGTGGTTTCTTCACGTTATCACTCTCCTGGTGTAATACGGTTCTACACTATCAGCAGATGCGTCAGTAGTAAGAGAAAGTGTCGCTTCTTCACTATCCGAAACGTAAGATAATTTGGTATAATTAGCTAGGGGCTTCCTTGGCATTATTAAATGCTGAAAGTGCATCGTCAGTCAGAATAATCTTGCTGTTCTTCTTTTATTGATTTTTGTAACAGGTTTGTCAACGGAATCAGCACTTGCGAACAATGAGGTATGAATTGCCTGTAATAGTTTACTAAACCGAGAAATCTACGTAGCTGTCGCAGTGTAGTTGGTTGTGGGAAGTTTTGAATAGCTTCGACCTTTTGAGAGACAGGGTAATGCCTTTCCCATCTATTTCATGACCAAGAAAGATCAGCTTCGGTACAGCAAATTCACACTTAGTAGGATTAATTTTAAGTCCGAAGTGCTTCAATCGCCGGAAAACCTGTTCCACGATCGGTGTGTTCTTCGATGTTCCTACTCGCAATCAGAACATCGTCAATATAAGCGAATGTGAAATGCAAGCCACGCAGTACTTCGTCTATAAGTCGCTGGAAGGACTGCGCTGCATTTCTTAGACCGAAGGGCATTCTAGTAAACTCGAATAAACCGAACGGTGTAGTCACAGCAGTTTTGTGGATGTCGTCTTTTGCCACAGGAATTTGATGAAAAGCCTTTCTCAAGTCCAACTTCGTAAAAATTGACGCTCCTTGTAACGTGATTGCAAAATCTTGTAGATGCGGGATCGGATATTTGTCCGGGACTGTTTGAGCATTAAGTCTCCGAAAATCACCGCATGGTCTCCACGCTCCAGCCTCCGATTTCGACACCATATGCAAAGGAGAAGGTATGGGCTGGATGATGGACGATTATCCCTAAGTCCAACAGATGCTGAAACTCAATCTTAGCATTTTTATATTTATCGGGATGTAAACGCTGCGGAGATGAATGCACGGGAAGACCAGTCGTCTGTATCCTGTGTTCCGCATTGTGTAAGATTGGTTCCATATAGTTGAACGGTGTCAGAATTTCTGGATATTTCCGTAATAAATATTGAAGACCGTTGGCAGTAGGTAGGCTGTACTGATACCTGCCGTTGTCAATTTTGAAGTAATTCCCTTAATTGAAATATCGGTATATTTATCTTCTAAGGATCGGGAAGACATGTTCACGTTGAGTTTAAATGGGCCAGGAAATCAGCTCCTAGAATAGGTGACTTTACTTGCGCGATGCTAAATACCCAAGTGAACGATCTACGTAATCCCAAGTTTAATGTAAGTGATTTTTCACCATAGGTTTCTATTCGAGAACCGTTGGCAGCTTGGAGGTTGTATGACGTAGCTTTGGTCGCCATGTTTGTTGTAGGCGGAATCACACTAACCTGTGCGCCCGTGTCAACCAAGAATAGGTAACCAGAATTGGCGTCCTTAACAAAAAAGACGGTTAATATTTTTTTCCCCGGTAGCGAACGCCGTCTTCACTTGCTGCCGGGAACGTCGTTTCCCGCTTGCTGTGTCGATCTTCTGCCAAATAAATTCGCGCTAAACCTGCAAGGTTTACGGCATTTATGTGCCTGGTGGCCAAAGTTAGCATGATACCAACATACGTTGTCCTGATAGTTTTCCCTATTTCGTGACAACGATCTGTGTCTACGTCGTCGTAATTCAGGAGGAATTCGATTAGTGAATTTGCATTTCTGTTGTTGCATAGACTTCTGAATATCCTGAACCTGAATTGACAGTTGTGCTAACCTGTCACTGAGTTTACGCATGTCGTCTGCGTCAACCACAGATGCTACTGGCTGTCTCTGAGTCGCAGCATACACAGGACTAGCTGGCTGGTTATCAGCTATTTTATCAGCTATTTCAGCTAGTTTTTGTATTTCAATTTCGTCTGGGAGGGAAGCCAAAATTTGGATGGTGTTCACGTGAAGTTTGTCCAACCAAAGCTGTCTTAACACTGTGTCAGACATTGTATTGCTTCCTAATAGTACCCGCATTTTACGCAGTAGTTGTGACGGTTTACTTTGTCCCAAGCTCAAGTTATTGAAGAGGTCACGCAGCTTTTGTTCCTCAGATTGACCAGTTCTATGGAGTATAGCTTCTTTTAGGGTATCATAAGGCTTATCAGATGGCATCTCATCCAGGAGATCCGAAACCTCGATCGCTACCTCCGCCGGTAGCTTCTCCACAACGTAGGCATATCGGGAAGTTTGGGAAGTTATCCTCTTGGCGTTGAATATAGCAGTTAACTGTGCAAACCAAACTTGAACATTGACATTGTTGTAAGCTGGCAAATTAACAGTTATTGCGGCTTCTGTGTGTGCATCAGTTTGCTCAGCCATAATGTTAATATTTCTTCGACGCGGAATTAGGATACCAGTTGGTGAAGTGGTGATTCAAATTTTTTAAACGACGGTAAAAAAATCAAAGTTGCCAATTTGAAATCTGAGTACGTCTCTTATAATATATCGCTCAATAATTTTCCAAGCACACTCGTATTCGGGGTCACTATGTAGTGGTATTGACGGAATAAATCAACCCACACATTTTTTTTTTACGAATGTGCAAGAAAATAAAAAGCAAACAAGAGAAGAAATACAAGAAAATAACTTTTCTTAATCAAGAACAATATTTATTTATAAAAAAAACAACAGTTTTACAACAACAATAATAAGAGTTACTTCCCTTTGACTGGGCTAATGTTTTTACTAATTAAAAGTCATTTTTTTATCCGAGCTCACAAAAACTGAATTAACTTGTAGTTCAAAATGTTCACTGAAAGAGAATCTTATAAAGCTGAAAATATGTTAATAAACTTTTAGCTTTAAAGAAGTTGGAGAAGTGAATGTTCCGTATGTTTTTGTTGCTCGTAGTTTTAAAAATGTATTGTTCGTAATTGTGTGTAATTAAAGTTCGTCTGATTCAATAACGTAATTGAATAAGAATATAAAATTTTACAAGTTGGTGAGTGAGCTGTTTCGTTGAAATTGTAGCTTGATTTTCAGTGAAGTAATTTCATGTTAAAGAACTTTAGGTTCCAACTTTGTACTTCGCTGCAGTAATGATTCAAGCGTCGTGAAGTCGATTAGCGAATTTGGTCGTCGTAAATTCTTACTGCCTGGGTCCGCTCGTACCTTCAACTTATATGTTCCTTCAACCACGTGACAGGCTCCGAAGGCATTGTTTTTTCGTCAGGTCAAAAACTAGGTTGACGTTGTTCGGACGTAGTGGTGAGCAGGTAAATTGTTTTTTTAACACCTGTTAACCACTCAGAAAGCGCCTTACAAAACTCAGTCTAGAGCCTGATATGTTTTGTCTCGCTTATTGAGAACAATACACGTAAAGATAAATTTAATATTTATTATCCAATGAGGAGTTTAGGTTTTCAGAAACATTCATGAAGATGTGATCCGCTCTTTGCAGGAAAATCGACATTTGTGAAAAAGTGGTAGCGGACAGCTAAAAAGTGAACGCACTTCTTTCTTTCGTTGCAGTCAGTATGCAAATACGATGATACAATTCCGAGAAATAAGATAAGAAAGGTTTCCAAGAAACTATAGTTTTTTTGTTCCATTTTGTTTTTGTAAAAAAAAAAAAAAAAGTAAAAGAAAAAAGTGAAATCAATAAAATACGTTTTATCAGATTTAACTCCACCTTTCAGTCTAAAAGTAGATTATTTTTTAAAGAAATGTTATAAAATAAGACATATCTCGGCTGATTTACAGGCAAATACTCAAGAGCGAGAACCGGATGTGAACGGGACAAGGCCCCGTCACAAAATGACCATTATCTTTCTTTACAAATGTTCCCGACACACGTGTTCCGGTCGAAAAATAAAATAATATTTAAAGTGATCTATTTTTCGTCCAATAAAAATGCTTCCCTCCTAATTATACTTGCTTCGTTTTTCGAGCCTGTTAAGCCATAAAAAACGCTATAAAAGGGGTCACATGGAAGTTCAACAGGCAGTCTACAGGTGGCCGCAAACAGACCTGTCACGGTCAGGCCGAGCGATCAGCAGCAGGAGAGCATCAACCACCGTCAACATGTGTAAACTACTATGAGGGATCGACCTAGATCCGAAACAGGCTTATGAACTTTGCCACACGGTAGCTGTCCCAAACCCACACGTTCCTGTTGAAATAAACCACGTAAATCTATTTCTGCTGTTGTCGTAATTCTTTCTTACAACCATACGCTTGTCTATAACAGAAATTATTAAATTCTCTAATTAATCACAAAATAAAGTGTAAAAAATAAATAGGTACCACTTTTGCGGGATTTTTTATGCTGTTTAAAAATAAGTCATCATCATGTTGCGGATATCATCACTTTTTTCTTGTGATGTACTTGTGTTCCTGGAAAAAAAATTGGCAGTCTCATGTGAATCCGGGTAAAATAAGAAACATAAAACAAAGAATAAAATAAAAGACAATGAATGTTATTAACCAAAAAGGATTTTGTTATGGTTCAATATCCTCAATATCCTCGCGCCACTGTTATGGTCGAAGGAAGAACAACACGAACACAAGAGTAGAATAACAAAGATATATTACAACAGAAATATAGTACAAGAAGTTGAAGTTGTTAGTAATGACTGTCTGTCTGGTTTAGAGTGAACTAATATTGTCTCGACTAGTTACACCATTCATTCGGTATCTAGCCCCCCGACGAAGGTTGCATGTGGCACAAGGCCAAGTTTAACGTGGGTTTCCCGAGCCCGTAGGTTCGGCCAAAAATATACCCTTTGAACCCGCCTAAAAAGCAGAGAGTTCAACTGGTGCTGGTTACACCACTCATTCATTATACCTCTTGAGAGGCGCAGTATTTATAGTGTCAGGAAGAGTCCATTATCGTTATAGGTAATTTCCCATAACAGATTTATATATGTACACAATTGTAATGAAAGGAAAATACATTAAAATAAAGTAACTCCAAACATTCGCCAAAAGAGAGCTTATAATGTTGAAAAAATCCTTTAAAAATAAGTAGATAAATTCCTTATTCTTTTATATCCACTTAGTTATTTGAGTCTTTTAGGAAATTCGTCTTCAGTCCATCTTTGAGTCAAGGATTTGTAATAGCAAACATAAAATGTTGTTAATTATTTTAGATGATCATAAAGGCAGAGTCTTTTGGAGATTTGACCACCTGGTTTTTTTTCCGGAACACAAGTGGATAGATAGGGAGGTGGAACAGCAACCAATTGTAAATTTATAGCATTTATCTATTATACATTTAACGATTCAAGAAAAAACGAGACCCCAATTATGCATCAGCAATAAAATATATATTGAAACAAATACATACAAAACAATCAGGTAATGTTGTGTAGCAATTAAGGGAGAAAACGTTGCTTCCCTTTAACTGTATTCTGAATAAGATTGAATGTTCGAAAGAATTTCCCTTGAATAAGAATGTTCAGGATTCTATGTTAAATAGAGTCTGGTGTAGAAAGGAATACAGTCAATTAAGAAGTGTGTTGTTTTGAGAAATATATAGAGTGCTGGTTCATGAACTTGGCTTAGTCACAGAGAGGAAGAATATGTGTAATGTGATACATAAATCTGTGTCTGTGTGCGTTGCGAGTAAAGTCGTGGATTTGTGTAGACAGGCTTAAATATTTGGACTCTACTGACGACTTGCGAGAAAGTCGGTAAGAGTTATTGGCAGTGTTCTTTAACGTCTGACCGCACGGTTAAGACGGGAGCTCTTGAAGATTACATCTTGGCAGCAAGGAACAAGACGAATGATGAGAAACAATATTTATTTCTGTAAAAGTACAGAAAATGTGGCACAAGGCCTAAAAAAGGGGGTGGGAATAGGACGGT